CCCCTCAACTAAAGTGGTGACTTCATATACCATGAACTTTAAGTGCCTGTATATCCTCCTGACTACCAGGAAAAAAAACAGTTTTGTGAATTTAGCATTGTGTCATGTCATTACATTGTTTAGAGCATAAGAAAAAATAGTGTGATTTCTGATTTAATCACAAATCAATTTTCATTTTTTATACCAAACTTTATATAAAGATGATTCTCAACTATGTTATGAAAGATATTTTTAAAAAACATTTTTCTTCATGCAAAATGTGTGTAAAATGGCCATAAACGAGTTTTTCCATTATATACAGTGTATCTATAAACTGTATCTAATTTGCGTATTAATGTGTTTTTGGGGCAACATAGAATGAACAAATAAGTGAAATAATGGGTAAATAATTAGCAAGATTTTCATAATAATATTTAATAGGAATATTGATATATAATGTTTTCTCTATTCATTTGTTTTGTCTCCCAAAATGTGTAATAAACATGAAATCGATGTCCTGTTTCATAACAGAAGGTCATATTTTGATTTGAAACCCCATAACATTTTCCTGAGATGTTGATTTATGACAAACAATTTGAAAATTAGTCAGATTTCAATGATAATTACAAAATATTATCATATTTCCATAAGGGTGTTACACTTGATCACCAAATTAATGTCAGCCATTTTTAAAGACCAAGCAGAGGGAGTGGTCATGGTGAAACATCCAATCATTTGGTATCTCTGAAAAGCCCCGAATGTGCTCTGTACAGGACATCCAGACTTAAAACTATGACATGTAACGTCTCAGAGAAATTGCTAAAACAGTCAGGAGGTAAAATTTAAACCATACTTTTTTTCTTTTTTCTTTAAGATAGCTCAAGCTTAAGCCTCCTGCTCACAAAAACCCCTGCAACTAAAATATAATTCTGTTTTCTGCACTCTCTACCCTACAAAGGACAAGTTTGTATATGTACTGCTGTGTTTGTGCCATTTATTTGATCAGCTTATTTTTGTTCACATTAATGAACATTGTGTAACATTAAATATTTAATGAGTCCACATCAGTTGCTTATTACATTAAAAGGTGTCTCCTTACCTTAAAAAAGATCAAGCTGTTTGTTTCATCTTTTTTTTTTTTTTTTTGGTAAATCCTTTATGGTTTTGTAAAGAGTTTTCAGATATACAGGCACTTCAGGTTCATGGGATATGTACTGAATTCCTTCTCAGCTCTTCCCAGGCATTGCTGATGATTTAACTGGGTTATACTATTTAAGAATAAAGCAGAAAGTTTTGATCAAAATCCAGTGTCCACAGTGTGTGTGCAAAGCTTGAACTTTCATGTTCATATTCATGTCACTTCACAATTATGCCATCATTAATAACACACTGTTTATCAGTATTCCAAAGGACTAAGTCACCACTTTAGTTGAGGGGCCACAAACATGATGAAATCATGAGAAGCTAATGCTTAGTTAATGATGACTATTGTATTTGTGTAACGGGGCTGACGAGACGTGAGACGTGTGGATCCATCTGCAAGCTTTTATTAAAGAGACGTGGTAAACAGGCAGGGTCAAACAATGGAAGACAGGTATATGGCGGGCAAAAACACAAGAGCTAGCGTAGGTGACCAATTGGCAGACAGAATCACAGGGGCGAGACGAGAGGGAGAAATCCAGGAAAACAGGCAAAGATCAGATACCACAGAAGCAGGCAAGGCAAAACAACGAAACCACAGAGACTCGGAAAGGGGTACAGGCTAAACAATACTCAGCAGAGAAAGGTGGTTAGAGTGGGTGTTATATAGTGAGTGAGGTGATTAGAAACAGCTGTGTGCAATGAGTGCAATCAGTGCAGTGTGCAAATCGTGCAAGGAATGATGGGATATGTAGTCCGGGGTGCTATGCAACAGTTTGAGTTGTGCGAGAGTCAATGTAAAGGAAAGGGTGACCTCTGGTGGTGAATAAACGGAAGTCCATGTACCGAATTCGTGACGATTTGGATGTTAACAGAATTCACATACTATGTGCTGTGATTGGCCGATGTTGGGGTCTGTCCATTTACCTGCACGCTACTATGAAAAAGATATAAACATGCTTGATATCTCATATCATATTTAATGAAAAACATTAGTTCTCACATTAATTGATATACTGTTCTAGCCTGTATGCATGCATGAGGTATTTTGGATTTTTGTATATTCCTTTAATAATTCAAGTAGTCTTACATGCACGAAATAATGCTTTTTTGAATCATGTGCCATAAGCATAGCTTTATCCACAATGTATAATAAAGACCTTGTTTTTTGTGAACAAAGAAAACATCATGATCATGCGTAATAAATTATAAATCATGAAGATGTACTCATCTTAGTTAACGTCTTAATTAAGGTGTTGTTCATGAATGAAAGACTTTGAATTCATGTTAGCTCCTGATAATTCATGAGAGATTAATGCATGAAGTAAGGCATAATTCACACATTAATTTATGCATGAATTCATGGTAATTCATGTACCATTACTGTAAAGTGTTAGTGTAAAATGTGAAGGTTTTTTCTGTATTTCTCATTCTCACTAGCTTAGCACATAAAGCTAACAGGTAGCAACCAGACATTTGCGTTGTGTTTTACTTTATGTTTTTGTTATTCATTTATAATTATTTAATCATTTTCATTTAATTATTTAATTTAATCACAGAATAATGTATTACAAAGTGTAATCATTTATTATACTACTTATTATTTTCCTTGTTATTGTTGTTTAGTCTTATGATTGTGTAGTTTCAAGGGATATATTTGTCTTCCCGAGTTAGAGATCAGAGAATGTCTCCTTTTCAAGGTTTTTAAACGTGGACGATGTTGACAAGACGATGTTGTGAAGCAGTCATTTTTCATTGCTGTTGGGTTTAATATTTCTGATGTGGAGAC